AAGGTTGAGCTCAGCTTAATTCAACTCAACAATATAAAGAAATACAGTAAATCATTAAATTGATACTCATTAGATGCAGAGCATATAGCATTATTAGGATGCATCATATCAGAATCTCACAAGAAAAGTGGTATCTTCTCTTCTAACAAGTAACAATAAACCTTTAAGGTAGGCTAGGATTGATAAGAGAAGATATACAGTATTAAAAAAAATCTTGTAATATTAAACGGGGGCAAATCCGTAAATACACATTTTTAGGGTTATAATTGTCACAACACTATTCATAAGAGCAAGATTCTACTTTTTACAAAGTAGTGATATAAATTTGACAACTATTTAAAAAAATAATGGTTACTTAATCCGTGCAACGCACGGGATTAGGCTAGTTTTTTTATATTATGTCAATTATAGCATTAATGATAAATTTTAATTACATATTTAACTATAGTTAGTTAGGTTTTTTTTTTTTAACATTTATCTGAGAAATATTTATATTAAAAAAAATCACCCATCTCCCCAAACCCGACAAGTCCTCCCCGCCCTACCCACGCCGGTGCAGCCTCACCTTCGCCGGTGCGCCAGCGTCCTCCACCCCCAACGCGCCTCTCAGCTCGTTCTCCCTGAACCACCGCCCTTCCCCAAAACCAACTCCCTAAGCCGCGAAATTCCCCTCGAAAATCCTTCAAATTCTTAATCTTTCCTCCCTAAATGAAATCAGATTAATTTCTCAAATTTTCGAAGCTTTAGGGTTCAATTTTCGCTCGATTTTAGGGTTAGATTTCGTTGGGTTTGATTTCACTCAGTTTTGAGGGTTAATTTTGCTCGATTTTAGGGTTCTTTTGTTCAGTTTTAGGGTTTGAAGGGGCTTTTTTGCCGGTAAGGAGGGGGTCACCAACGGTGGGAAGAGAGAAATTTGTCAGAGGAGAGACAGAGGAGGGGGTCACCGGCGGTGGGAGGAGAATGTTCGATCAGAGGAAAGAGAGGAGGGTGGTCACTGGCGGTGGTTTGGGCATTTGGAGTTTTGGGTTGGTGTTCGTCTGGATGGTCCGAGCGGGTGTCTCAGCAGGGAATGTTTGTGGTTTTTTTTTTTAATAATTTAATTATTACAAAAATAAAAGAAATTAACCATGGTTAGTGAATTCATGTTAGAATAGCTATTCTCTTTGATAATCTATAATTCAGGTTTACCAAAGATAATAAGTTTTTTTTTTGCAATTCACCATCGAGAATTTTAAAAACCATAGTGTTATCAAAAAGAATTTCCCCTGAATTAACTTATTAAGTTTGTATATTTTTGTCTTATCTTATTATGTTTGAAATTGGAGAATGGTGTAAGACTTTAGAAGCAAATGAAATAAGAATTGTTTTGAAATACGGAGTATCTTATTAAGTATGTATATTTTTGCCTTTTTGGAAATATTTGCTATTTTTATATAATTAGGGAGCTATGCACAATTATGGCCGAATTGTAATAACTTGCCCTAAGACTCGAAATTTGTTGGGTAAAGGCCTTTATTTGGACACTTTACTAAGAAATAGATATAAAGCATAATGTATTGAAAATTACCAGTATGAGTTACACGGGATGAAATAGTTGTAGTTGATGTTATACGCAAGGCTTTAATTAAAATTGTAGATTCTTGTTAGGAAATTTTGTCAACTAATTAAAGCATGTGTTTTGAAAATAATTACCTATTAAAAAAAATTTAACAGAACTACCACAAAGTTGTAAAAAGTTTAAGTAGCACTACTATTCTAAAAATTATGGCTAGAATCTCCGACATTTGGGTCTCACTTTTTACCTTTATGAAGAGGAATTTAGTCAATTTAGATGATAATTTAATGAGGTAAAAGTAAAAAATGGAACCTATATGCCGAATATTCTAGTTGGAATTGTTAGAATGGTAATTCTACTTAAAGTTCTTACAACTTTGTGGTAATTCTTAAAAATACTACCTCCGTTATTATTAGAATGGTAATAGATAGTTGTTTTCAAAACACGCGCTTTAATTGGTAGTTCTAGACAAAATTTCCTTCTTGGAATGGAAAATTTGTTGCAACACCAAAATATATACATGGTACCATATGTTTAACGTTTCTAGTGGCTCAAGAAAGGTAACAAGTTAGCATGAATTCCAAGAGGGAAATTGCAATGCATATTCATTTCTTTATATCAGACTTCTATGTATTGTGTACTAATTCATTACTTTGCACATTGCACTATTTGCACAAACCCAAATGTGTAGGTTGTGCGCGCAATTAAAAATAACTACTGATGCATTTTGTGATCAAAGCTTTCTAATCAGCTTGATCTAATCTGAAGGGATGGCTTGCCACACCTTTTCACAATAATCAATTGAAGAGGCATTTAACATGCCAAAAATGCCAAGGTTGTTTAGGACAAAAGGCAACAAGAATTTAACAAATGCAAATTACTACCTATTTTTAGCAAAATAGATTGTCGAGGTTTAGTCAGGTACTATTGCTGATGGAGTGTTCAACATTAGTTCATGTAATTAGTGTAATCCTTATATTTTACGTATTTATATGAAGTTTTTTTTTTTTTTTTTTTAGACTCTATACCATCTTGTATTCTTGTTTCAGTAGCTTCTTTCCAAGCGAATTGTATATAAATTAGAGTTTTGGTAAGACATTCAAACTATATAATTTTAGGGGGATTTTTTTGTGTGGCTGGTCGATCACAGTGTGTAGCCGGGGTTACTCGAGTTACTCGGTTAGAGATTACTCGAGTTGATAGGGGTTACTCGAGTTACTCGATCAGGGATTACTCGAGTTGTTAAGGGTTACTCGAGTTACTCGGTTAATGATTACTCGAGTTACTCGATTAGGGATTACTCCAGTTACTCGGTCAACTGAGGGGTTACTCGAGTTACTCGGTTAATGATTACTCGAGTTACTCGATTAGGGATTACTCCAGTTACTCGGTCAACTTAGGGGTTACTCGAGTTACTCGGTTAATGATTACTCGAGTTACTCGATTAGGGATTACTCCAGTTAGTCGGTCAACTCAGGGGTTACTCAAGTTACTCCTAACTTTATTCCCTACTATGAGGTCAGTGAATATTGTCACAGTATACTTACTAGGCTAATAAACCTAGTGCTCTCGTGCAACTGCTTACATTGCCTTAAGTCATACTGTTACTTTAGAAGAATACTACAAGAGCGAGGGGGGTGAATTGTAGTATGGGAGGAATTAGCTAAATTTTTACGGAATTAATAAAAATAAGCTAAAGGAACTTTGAAAGTCTCATAGAGAGATCTTACGTGGAAAACATCTCTTGGCCCTAACAAGAAGAAAAACCATGACTATTGGGATTTTAGGAAAAATTCTTTACTAGAATAGGGCAATCAATCTATAACAAGCTAAAGACTCTATATTTTCTCAGCAGCAAGTCCCTTTACTTGCTACTCTTCTCTTCTCTTCTCTCTTTTGTCTTCTGACTTCTCTTAGAGTTCATTCAAACTCTCAACCCCCAATTACAACTCGTGAAAGAAAATGCTCTGATGAAAGTAATTAAGAAAGTTAACAACTTAAAGTAGAATGCGACTCTTGACTCTTTTAGAAAATAAAGAAGATTGCAAATATGATTGAGCAAGGATAAGTTTTTCCATAAAACAACTTACGTATTTAAAGAAAAACTAGCTTGATTAAAACGCTAAAGTCTCCACCACTTATGCCACTACTGCTGCCATCAACGCCACCATTCTCCACTACTTCCAGTGCTTCAAATATGTCCTAAAACTCATGGCACGTTGAACCACTTAAAAGCAGTTTTATTGTTTAGCGGCAAAGACTTAATATAATCAAACACCAGCAGCGCATGTTTAGGGAATCAGTCGCACAAGCTTTTTGAAAGATTATCCTTTTCGAAAAAAAACGATATTATTTTGCAATCAAAGCAAAACACTACTAGCAAAAGGTCGATTTCCGACGGACAGGTTCCCACGGATCCGAAATTCCGCCAGAAAGATCGAAATAACTCCGTCAGATATTTTTGACGGAATTTTTAAATCCGCCGAAAAATATGTATTTTTCAACGGAATATTCCGTCGTTAATATAAACGAATTTAGGGTTTCACTTATAGTGGTTTTGGGGTGATGATTTAGGGTTAGAGATGGCCGAAAAGGGTAGGGGAGGGGGTCTATTTGGGTGGGGGGAACGGGGCTGGGGGCGGATTTCGGTGGGGGGAAGGGGAAAGGGGGTGGTTTTGGTTCGGGGTGGGGCTCGGCCGCTCGGGGCAACAAGAACGGGGAAAGGAAAGGGGGGTTGGTTGCATAGGGTGGGGGAAAGGGAGGGGGTGGCTTCGCGTCGGCACTGGCGGGGGAGGGGGAAGGGGTGGCTGGGTTACTTTTTTTTTTTGAAAAAACATAACAGAATTTTAACGGTTTCCGTTAAGTGGTAGTGAAATTTTAATTATTTGATTTTAGGTGGTAGCAAAATAAAATAAAAAATTAAATGGGTAGTAAAGGTAACACAAGGTACTTTCGCTTGTAGTAAATATCAATTTAAGTTTTTAATGACAACAAAAAAAAAATAGTCGGGATAAGGTAATATTTTAAGAAGGAAAAATTGTCAAAAAAGGGGGATTGTTGAAACTTTGAACGGTCCGTTAGAAACAAGTCAAACTTTTAATTAATTCTAAATAATACAAACTTTGAGGGATATCCGCTGTAAACAAGTTATATTACCTACTACTTATTTAGCCGGTTAATTTTTTTATTTATCCTATAAAGTTTTTTAATAGTTTTAAAAAAATAATACAATGTCACGTGTTCATATAACTTATTCATGAGGTAACTAATTGATTTTGACTTGTTTGACGCGAATAGCCTTTAAAGTTTGTATTATTAAAAAATATTTAAAAATTTGACTTATTTTTGGCGGATTCCTCGAGGTTTATAATATTTTTGACAAATTTTCCTTTAAAAAATGAAAGGAGCAATATTATATGTGTATTGCTATTGCACCACACTTCAAGCAAATTCAACTTGCAAAAATAACACCAAATCATCCTATTTGAAAACTGAACCCACAACCCCAAGACTCTCACGGTCTCACCCCAAACATTTCAATCTTCAAACTTCAAAATTCTTCCCAAATTCTTCAGACTTTTTTGTGTTTTCTTCTTCTCAAATAGAAAGGATTAGGGTTTTTTTTCCGATTATAATTCTTGCGTAATTGTGAGAATATTGAGGGTTAGATAGTTATTCCGAATCCAATTCAATCGCCAATTGGTATATCTGGTAATAATTTGGGGAAATGCAATTAGGGTTTTGGCGGGATTTTATCAAATTTCAGCTATTACATTTCTAAAATTCGAGCCTTATGACTTAGAATTTTCAATTTTGTTAGTGAAATTTCAAGATTATGGAACTATTTCTTGATTCTACGGCAGTTATCAGCTGTTCTAGAGCTGTTGTGAATCGCAGCAGTTCTAAGTCGATGATTTTGGCATCTTGTAACAACAATTTTCGTGTTTCGGTATCGATTTCTCCAAGAAAACCTCCATTGAAGTATGTGTATAAATCCCTTTTTGCATTTCCAGTTTCTGATAGTAATAGCAATAGATGTTTCAAGTGTTTGAGCAATAGAAATAACAATGATGATAGATTGATTGATACTGACCCAGTAGTTGAAGAGGGAAAGAAAGAGAATTTTGATTCTGTTAAGGCATTGCTCAAGAATGGGATGTTTTTGACAGCTATAGTTTGTGGGGTTTTCCTGTTCGAGTGTCGAAAAGTGATGGCGGTTGAAGGGGTGGTTAATGCAGGATATGGGGTGATTGGGCAGAGTATATTGTTGTTGAGGAACGCGTGGCCGAAGACATTGCAGGTTCTTATGGTGTTTAAGGAGCAAGGATTGATACTTGCCGCGCTTTTGAGTCTTTCGGCTTTCTTCTCCATGGCCGAAACCTCTATCACCACTCTATGGCCTTGGAAGGTGACCTTCTTGTACTCTCTATTCACTGTTGCTAATCTAGAATTTTGTGAAAGATTTTAGAAATAATGAAATTGTTGGTTGTTTTGAATTTTAGACTGTGCATAGAGAAATGACTCATTTGTTTCAGTATGTAGTATGTGTCTGCGAATTTCAGCTTCCAATTTTGTCAAGAAATTTATTCAAATGTTATATTGTGATTGTCATAGATTTTGGTTTATGGGGAATAATAGAGCAGAAAATCATATTATCAATCTTTATATATTAATGAAAGGTTTTGTGGTTTCCATATTGCCTGGTACATTGGACATATACTAGTATTAGTAATTTAGGACACTTGTAGATCATTTACCTTTCATTTTTCTGTCCAGCGAATCTTGCAAATCAGATAAAGAACCATTAAGAGATGATGTATTAAAGATTAGTAATGAATGAGATAGAAGTGGTATCAAGTTTAATTGTATCCTTGTCACAAAAGGAAGAAGATACATGAAAGCAGAGAGAGATATAGTTTCTGGCTTTCTGCAATTGAAGATTGGGCATAATTATGCGAAAACTTTATATGCGAGCTTCTGACATGCCATGTGTAAAATTAACGCTACTAACCTTAAAGATGTTATTCTGCTTAAAGAGCCCTTTCATACAGGGTTGCAGATGATTTAAATTATAGTTTCTGACAAGCATGTTCATATTAATTTGTGAAAGTCATCTTAAGGGGTCTGTGCATTTGTCCTTCCTATACTTTGCCAATAGTAGGAGCTGTTTAAGGCGTTTGTTTTTGTATATAGGAGTAGGAATACATTACTACATTTTAATGAGAATTTCAGCTTATTATTATTTTAAATTAAATGATTTGCTGATAATCGAACCCCTGTTTAAGGCGGTTGTTTTTTGTATATAGGAGTAGGAGTACATTACTACATTTTAATGAGAATTCTAGCTTATTAATATATTAAATTATATGATTTGCTGATAGTTCAGCTCTCTTTGACCTTTGGTAGTTGATTTCTTGAGACGCAATCTCTTGTTATTTACCAATTAGCAAATATAATTAGTGATGGATATCAAAGTTGTATAGCTTGGGACTTCATTATCATATTGTAGAGACATTACAGTGCTGTTGGCCGTTTATAAAAGGAGATTCCAGGTTTTGAAGTTTCATGCCTCTTAAGTCTCTGGCAAGTCCATCTGTCAAAATTCTGTAGACAACTACACCTCTAGATGTATATAATTTATATTCAATTACAGTTAGACAAAGGATTGACTCCATGTAAAAAAAAAAGTACTTGCTGATTGTTTGAATAATTCCTCTTGCTCATAGCTTGCTCCTTCCCGCTCTTCCACCCCGCCATGTAGTGGGTTCACCCAAACTGCCAGACAATGTCCTTCCGTCAGTATGCAGCCCAAGAAAACAGTCATTTGCTTGATAACCATGTGTTTTAGATTCTCTATATAGCTATAAACTTATGTCATTTTCTATTATTGCCTTTCTTTATATTTGATATTTGAGAATTGAGACTTCAGATACTGGCTACTTGTAAGTTGTAACTTGCATGTTACAGTCCTCATTTGATGCTAATGTTATTGAATCTCTGAGAAATTATAGTTCAATGTATGACTTACATGTTACAGTCCTCATTTGATGCTAATGTTATTGAATCTCTGAGAAATTATAGTTCAATGTATGACTTACATGTTACAGTCCTCATTTGATGCTAATGTTATTGAATCTCTGAGAAATTATAGTTCAATGTATGACTTACATGTTAGTGTCCTTTACCTTTAGGTGCGTGAGTTAGCTGAAAAAGAACCTGATAATGGCGTCTTCAGAATGCTTCGAAGTGATGTTACTCGATTTCTCACGACTATTCTCATTGGCACAACGTATCTTCCTGTCTTTTAAACTTATAGGTTTCTGTTAAGCTTCATTGCAATTTATCACCTTATAGAAGATTCTGCATGTATGCAGAGTTGTCAATATCGCGGCAACTGCATTAGTTACTGATGCTGCAACAGCAATATTCGGTGAAGCTGGGGTCACTGCTGCAACTGGATTGATGACTGTATGTTGTATGGCCTAATCAAATTATCATACATTAGCCTTCCCTTTTCCCATTATGTACATTTTGTCTGTGTCTCACATTTCTCTTTTGGCATCAGGTTGCCATTTTGCTTCTTACTGAGATAACTCCCAAGAGCATAGCTGTGCATCATGCCACTGAGGTGGTTAGATTTGTGGTAAGTTGTCTTAGTTATTGTACTGTGATTTTGAATAGATGATTCGGGCTTCTCTTGTTTGTATAATAGAGCTAGCAAGCACGGCCTTGTATGGTCTATTGTTATTTTGGACTTCCAATCTTCTGTGTAGCTTAAAGTCTTTATTTGCTACCTCAGTTTCATATTATGTGCAAGTGTACAATAAAAGCCTTGACACGGACTCCTATGCAAAATTTGATTGTGAGTGTTAAATGGAGAGAGTAAGATAAACACGCATGTGATGAGGGAAGAAATAGAAAGAACAGGCATGCAATTCAAAAAGGAAAGAAAATATTTGTTGCACATAATATGTAGCAACCATTTGTAGTAAATGTTGGTCATAATATGGAACTGAGGTAGTGTTTATTATTATTTATTATTATTTTTTCTGTAAACTTGATGTATGTATATATTTTTAATTATAGGTCAGACCAGTGGCCTGGCTTTCTTTGGTTCTATATCCTGTGGGAAGAGTCGTTACTTTCTTATCGATGGGCATATTGAAAATGCTTGGATTAAAAGGAAGAAGGTTTGTTGCAATGGTTTTTAAACACTGTACTTTTTATAAGACATCTTCATATGCTGTTTCAGTTTTGTTTCTACCATGTTAGCAAGGACTTATAAATCTATAGTAACGATTGTATCCCAACTCTCAGTTGCTGCATTTATCTGATCTAGGGTGTAAGCTAAATGTTTCAGTTATTTTCAAATTTATCATGTGTATATATCATCTGTAATACTTCGAATTTGTTTTCTGTTCAGAGGACAGATTTTCCTGATTGCTTTTTCCTTGCTTCTTCAGCTAAAACTATAATCCTTTTTTTTTTATCAACGTAAATTAATAACTTAATGATATTGTAGATTTTCATCTGCAATATGTTCTATTTTAAACTTATTGCTTTTATGATTGTGGGGAATACAAAAGTGCTATGGACGAGAGGTTTCTTATCTTTTCTAATTTTAATACCAATGTGACTAAGACTGCCTTTCATTTTAGCCAATGCTATATGCCAAAATAGCCTCTTTTGTTTACTCAAGAATTGAGGCTAATATTAGTACTGTAAGTGCAGCCCTTGCAAGTCATGCCTGGTTTCATCAATTGCCTGCAGGGTTTCTATTAGTGCTTGAAAAAACTAGTATGAAACAAATATAGCTAATGAGGGTATATAACATACTGGAGTTGTCTTTCTTAATCCTTCATTTAAGGCATTTCACAAGTTCTTGATAACATTCAAATTTCTTGTGTTAGTGAACCATACGTTACTGAGGATGAGCTGAAGTTGATGCTGCGAGGAGCAGAGTTGAGTGGAGCAATAGAAGAGGAAGAACAGGTATATATTTTGCTTTGCTATAATTTTTTTTTTTGTTAATTTTAATTTTATTAAGTTAATTTCTGTCCAAGATTTGCACTCTACATCTTTTTTGTGTTGTGGGGTTGTGTGGATGGGTTTACAGAGACCCTAGCTCATAATATTGAGTTTTGCCACTATTCATCAAAGTGCTTATTATCAAAATCCACCTATTTCACTTTTGCAACTTTTGTTTACAAAATAGTGTAGACTACATGGTAAAAAAATGTTTAGTGGCATTTTAGACCTAACGAAGAGATTGGGATTGGTTATATACTTATATTAATAGATATTGAAACTGCGTCTTGTTTGCATTTCTTACTTCATTGTCTAGTGGTGGGCTAGCTTTGAGGAGGCTGTTTTCATTGCTTGCCAAATCTTGGGCTTGCCTTTCACTATTCTAGATTGGTTGCTGACTTGCTGAAGTAGTTCGTGGGGCTTGGGCAAGGGAGGGAAGTGGGGGAAGGAAGGAGTAGGGGTTCTGCTTCATGCTTTTATGTAGAAGTGGCAACTCAGGTCAATTATCCGGTTTCGGGTTTGTTTTCAAGTTGTCCAACAAAATAAGAAACAGTGTAAGACTTAATATTAATACAAAATATGATATATGAGTCAAACTGGATAAAATTCAGGCTGTTAATGTTCAGTTTGGGTTTTTGGGCTAGACCAGGGGATCCCTGCTCTACTTTTATGATAATTCCATATGGTGTGGTTAGAAAGGAATTTACACTTTTATCAAGAACCACATTCTAATGCAATTTGCCTCTGGACAGAATGTCTTATCTAATGTCCTTGTGGACTAAAGTGGCATAGCTTTATAACTTTTCAGCTCGTTTACTATGAGATATACCAATTTCAGGACATGATTGAAAATGTGCTAGAGATCAAAGATACACATGTGAGGGAGGTTATGACACCGCTTGTTGACGTTGTTGCCATTGATGCAAGTGCATCATTAATTGAATTCCATAATTTGTGGGTAACGCATCAGTACTCTAGGTATGTGATACTTCTTGAAACCTTAGCATATCAAATTTATGTTCATTGGATGATGTTTTCCACTTGGTTTTTGTATAGAGTGCCTGTATTTGAGCAGCGTGTTGATAACATAGTTGGTATTGCGTATGCAATGGATATGCTGGATTATGTTCAAAAGGTTTGCTTGTTATTCTTAACATAATCTCTTTCTAGAGTAACTGTTTCTTCCTATTTAATATATGCATCCATCTCATAGTCTGCAGAATCATTATGCTGTGTTTGATTTTGAAGGGGGAGCTATTAGAAAGTTCTACTGTTGGAGATATGGCACACAAGCCAGCTTACTTTGTTCCTGGTACTTCCTCACTATTATGCTCTCTTCACCATTTTATTTTGTGTCTGTGTTCCCCTCCTTTAAAGTTTTAAAGTTGTCGTGTTTTGATAAAATTGTATCTCTCATCTAGCTTGGATTGGTGTCATAGGTCCTTGAAACTATTGCACTACTAAGGCGTAGTGATTAAAAATGATATGTGATATCAGTTGTGATATTATGTGCTAATGGAGGTTACCTAGTTTTTAGTATCATTTGACTGGGGTTGGCCGGTTGGGTATGGGGTTCTGATGGTCCATTTTGGTAAATGGTGATTTTGCATAAGATCCTCTTCATTACCATAAGGGTAAGGTTGTATACATTTGGCACCAATATTGTTCCCTATGTTGAAATCGATTTGAGGCAGTAGGGTGGTCCGGTGGTGTTAATGCTGATAGCGATTGTTTTAACTCATCTATTTCCAAAGACTGACAACAAAGGATTGGTCCTATCTTTGATTGGCGGGCAATTTATATGTTAGTAAACTTAAGTAACTGAAGCAAGAAATTTACAATTATGTGATACAATGTTACTTTGGTTTCAAGAAATTTACAATGCTGGTGATACAATGTTGAAACTCCGCAACCCGACATGGGTATAAAAACACTTCCCTAAAATACGTGCTTCAAGTATTAACCACACACTTCAATTATCTTCAGACAAATAGCTTTTGATCTTGTTCAACGAAAGACTATAATTAGAGTTGCTGGCCGTGCACATGCACGGGGCAGAACCTGTACGAAAATATTCCTTCAGTTTTGTGCATCCTGTGGTTCATTTGCTGTGAATATGTTATCCTACACAGTATGTTATCCCACACCCTCCAAAAAGATGTACGATGGAGGGGGAAATTATTGAAGGCAAAATCAGTTTTGCTGTCTTGATGACAAGGACGTTTTTTATCCCAATTTCTGGAGCAGTCTTACCCCTCCCACTCCTCTCCGACTCTGCCACAGTGCCAGCCAATGGGCCATCTACCTTTTTTAGCTGTACCCTTGGTAATATGTTCTTTAGGAGGGAATCTAGGGTTTGCTTCTTTTTTTTTTTGCCTAGTCTCCAATATCTCTCCATGCATTTTGATATTTGTGTTTGCCACAAGTTTGTGAGTGATCAACCTACCTGGACATTCGTTGGTCTTCTTATATTCTTTTTTTTTTTTTTTTTTGAAAAGTGGTCTTCTTATATTCTAATATCCTAGAGGTAATTGACAAGGAGAATAATTAATCAAAAGGTTTAAAACTATTTGCTGCATATTTTTAATGTCTGATTTTCTTCAACATATTTCCTTTTGCTTTGAATCAATATTGTATGCAGAAACTGCCATTTATGATAGCTTCTTGCCTTGTTTATGTCACAGATTCTATGTCTGTATGGAATCTTCTTCGAGAGTTTCGAATTAGAAAGGTTCACATGGCCATTGTCCTTAACGAATATGGAGGAACTGTAGGGGTAGGTAATTTCGTCCTTTGTGGTCAACTAGTTTGGAGTTGTTTTTGTACTTTCAGTCTGCCACACAATAATGAAAATGAATATTTCTTATCTTGATCTAATTGTGGTCATTAGTTCAATTTGGAAAATGAATAGTTTAAAGACTAAAGTGTCTGATACAGCTCTCAACAATAAGTTAGTTTTGGTTGCTTTTTAATTCACTTTCCCCTTTGTCCTTTTCTTCCCCACTTTACTTCAATTGTGCTTTAATTGGCTTCATCTGATTGTACATTGTCCATGAAACAGCTAGTGACTTTAGAAGATGTTGTTGAAGAAATTGTCGGTGAAATCTTTGATGAGAATGATTCAAAGGTAAGACATCTTATTTTTTTGGTAGATCAATGTTATAATGGAATAGATTGGTAACTTTTGGTCCAATTCTTCATTGCTTCCACATTTTGTATCTTGGTAAGATCCTAGGAATCATCTCTTCCTATAGGTACTATTTGTTGTGGCACTGAAGTTGGTACCTATTGGTTGTAAAAGCTTTAGCTAGACAGTTTCAGTCTGCTTATTCAAAGACCATCTCGCTTGCATGGAAGTTTTGTATTTCTGCATTTTTCTCAATGATCTATCATAGGAATCATAACTACTAGTCCTTGCAATCTCTAATTGATGTATGATTGATGGCATGTAGTGGTTGTGTTTCGTCTGCTTAGAAGAATTTAATTGCACCAGAGGAGTTGTAGGAGGATTTTAGATATCCTAATTTTGAAAAATGGGGTTTCAATTGCTAATATAGCTCATTCCGTTTGTAGTCCTAAATATCTGGTGGACTGGTGGTTTATATTACTCTTTTGTACTTCCTCTATCTTTTAGATGCATCACTTTCTACATATCCCTCAGGTCTTTTTTTTTTCCTTCCTTCTTTCTCATCTCCAAAAATTGCCTAGGAGACCATGATTTTAAAAGTAATGGATCTTTAAAAACGGAGGAAGTATTTTGCTTATCAGAAGCCATTTCTCTGATGGATCTTTCTCTTCAATGCACCCAAAAAGCATCTGAAAAGCAGTTTCATGCTAATTTGCCTAAGGTTGGAGATGGAGCAGTGGATTCATGGTTGCAAGACTGTTTTCTCATTTATGGCGAACATAGTAGACTAGGAGAGCAATCGACCCATGTTAGGAGTAGACTAAAATTGTGTCATGTGGAAATAAAGGTTAATTGTGTCAACTTTATTTGTTTAAGGTTGCTACTTAATACATTTTCAAAATAATCTCTGTGCTATATGAACTTGCACTTTGTTTTCTCAGGGCCTCAGGACTTGGGATATCATGGAAGATGATTAAACTTTTTTCTTTTCTTTTCCTTTTTTTTTTTCTGGGGGGGGGGGGGTAATGAGATGAATCAAGCATAAATTACAATTTATCGTATAAAAAGGCCCTATAAGGATTTTTACTTTAAACTGATAAAGTTGCTGTAATGTCTTCAAGATTGTTAGCGATGTGCTTTTGAATTGGCTAGGCACAGTTCATTTTTTTTATTTATTTATTTTTATTCCTACTGCGAATTTGTTTGCCACTAAATAAAAATTGGTCGGTGACAACTGACAAAGTATGAAATGAATTTTGAGCATAAGGTCATAAACTTCATTGTAGGAATTGGGAAGGTCTGTACTACTGCTGTATTGAAAATTTGTAAGTAAATATTTCTTCAAGATCAGAAATGGGATTTTAATTTTGGAGGTTATAATGGTATATATGTGGAAGCTTGGAGTGACTCTTGCCTTTTTTTTTGCTGTCATGGACAATGTTATGCATACTTGTAAGAAGGCATGAATTGCATGATGGATTATTGTAGACTTCTTTTTAAAAATGTTTTATCATTTCTGTGGGGTTCCTTCTAGTAACTTCTAATATTGTGTGCTTTTGTTGTTATTGGGAAGGGAGTTGCTATTATGAGTACATTAGCATGTGTGCTTGCTTTCACTAGCCATCATATGTAGAAGAGCCAGCATACTTTACTCAGGCTCATTACCATTATGAACTCTGACGTTTAGTCCCATGCCCGTTATTAATTTTTCGCGTGTGCAGATTCAAAGGGGGGGGGGGGGGGGGGACGGGGACCTAATAGCTGCTTTGGTGCTTCTAGAGGCTGAAAGCAAGGATATTTCTTTTCCCATTAAATTGAATGGATTTTAGTACAAGTAATATGAAGGGTGATGGAGATTTTATTGAAGACGCTGTTTGTTCTTTATGTTACAATTGTGCTCATCCATTTAGTTGCCCATATCACATACATAAGTCTAGTCTCTAACATTTGTAGGAATTTATATTAAGTTCAAAAGCCTGGTTGGGTTTTTTCTTCAGCAGGCTGTCTTGTCTGTAAACGTTCTCTTTTTAAGAAGTATGGGTATCTTATAGCTCACAAGTTAGTACAATGTCAGCCGTGTGAATTATGGAGAAGAATATTTGTGCTGAAAAATACCATATTTTTAGTTATGTTTGAGTAAATGACAATACTTGCTTTTCTGCTGAGAGCCTTTTGTCACAAAATGAAAAGAGGACTGCTGGTCTACGATATAATGATATACTTTGTAGAGAGTTTATGTTTGTGTGCTCTTTTCAAAGTTGTTTGTCCTGGTATAGGAGGAGATTCAGAAGAAAACGGGCTACATTGTTATGCGAGCGGACGGGATCTATGATGTGGATGCTAATACTACAATTGATCAACTTTCCGAAGAGTTGAGCATTAAGATGCCTGAGGTTCTGTGCCTTGCTTTGCTAATCTTTGCTTCCCACTTTTGCTGGTTTTATTTATTTTTGTTTCACTCTTGATTTACTGTTTTGTTGTGTTTTTTAGCAGGATCACCAATATGAGACAGTTTCTGGTTTTATCTGTGAAGCATTTGGATATATCCCAAGAACAGGTGAGAGCATGAAGGTGGTTCTTGAGAGGGATAATCAAGAAGAGGATGACAAATACGAGGAAGATGAATCAGAACGTCGAGAAAAAAAGGAAAAATCACAAATTTTCAAGCTTGAGGTATGTAATAATAAATGCTTTATGAAGTACTTATGCCAATTTGCCACATATTATACAAATTACCTTGTTACTTTCCTAGTTAGTTGCTACTTTCTGAATTAGGCTCATATCATGCTAGAATGACTTCATTCTATATTATCCTGTGCTCTTTGTGACCTATAAGTAAATTTGTAGAATAGTGAAATCTGCCATGATGATAAGGTGGAGTTTTATTGCTATTTAACGCTCCAGTCCTTTTCAGTTGTCTCATACAATGTCGATAAAATTACCCAATGCCTCTAAAGAAGCTCCCACCTACCTTTACATAAGAGGGTTGGATACCTGGATCTGTGCAGCTTAATTTTTAAAATAACAGAGAGAGTTTCCGAATGACCTTTTCTTTCTTTTACTTCATCATGAAAAAGAACTGGATAATTAACAAGCTATTTTGATCTAGTCCGTTAAAACCCATAAGTCAGATAACGATGAGTATTTGACTCTATTAGAAAGAAAGTCTAATGATTTAGTGATTACAGATCTTTTAGATGAGTGTAAATTAGATTTGTTGATAAATCTATAAATGAGGTGGTTAAATAAGAGGTAAACCTGTTGCTTAGCTTTGTAAGAACTCTTGTGGAAATACCCAATCCCTTAAGTGGTTTCCTTTGTGTAGATACTAGCTGGGAATGCAAGAAAGGTTAGTGCTGTTCGGTTTGAAAGGGTGGAACTTGGTGGCATGCAAGTGGAGGCTAAAGAAGTTGCACCTGTTTTCCCTAAAATCATGAAGAGGAGTCGACCTCGAGGTGAGAACTCAAATAGGTCTTACAATCATGAGGACAACTTTCATCAGATGGTCGAAGAAAATGGCTTGGATCAATCTGTTGACAATGAGGATGGATTCGGAAAGGAAAGAGATGGCAGCAGCTCTGACAGTGACTTGATTATGGATCATGTTGATAGTCATGATTAGCCAGCCGGGCCTGGTCGGGCCTCCTACTGCTTAGTGGATTATCTCTTGGTTAAATCAAGCCAATCTGTGGGGTTGGTTCAGGCTAGGTCTGAATCAAATGTAGACCGGTTCTGTATTTGAACTAAGCTGGTCTTTATAGGGAACCTGGCAGATTCTGGGTAATGTTAAAGATTGCCGATTTGCCACTTTTACAGTCTTACAGATGATTATAGATAGTTATCATTTTTTTTTTGGCACGAGTTTTGTAAGTTTCAACCAGCAAATATTGTGAATTTTTCCCTATTGGAGGGTGGGTGGGGAGAGTGATGGTTGCATTGGATGTTTTAGGAGAAATAAAGCCAAAACTCAATGTGTTTTGCGCGAGTTAGGATTGTATTCGTGTAATTTTTTTATGACAAGCATTCCATGCTCGCATTCATTGCCACTGGATCTGCCAGTGATGCAAATATTCAGTTTAACTCAAAAAAAAAAAACTACTGTGTAACATTGGATTATTATTATTGAATTTAAAGAGAATAAATAAACATAATAGTAAGAACATTTTAGGTATGTTAGATAAAACACACCAACTTGGCATTTAGTTATTATAACCCAGTGTGAAAAACAAAATAGAATGAAGTAAGAGTTTAAAAGAGGTATTTTGTATTTCATAGACGAGTTAACAAAAAAAAGGTGGATAAAGTAAGAGATTGGACCATAAAAAAAAAAAAAAAAAAAAAAAAAAAAAAAAAAAAAAATTAAAAAAAAAAAAGTAAGAGATGTGATATATTAGTATTTCAATTTAACGGTAAAACCAAAAATGATATAGCACATAGGCGATACAGTGAAAAATTATACTATTACGCATATTAAAAACAAAAAAACTACTCCGTATTATTTAGAAACTAGATGAAACCCGTGCGATGTACGATTCATTTGTTTGATTGTTTTTAAATAATTTTTTTTTTTTTTTGTATTTATGAGTCTAAAATTTGTTAAAATTTTAAATAAAATTCCTAATATTAAAAAATAATATATAATATTTAATTAATTTAAACTTAAAAATCTCATTCGCCAATTTTGCTTGCATGACATTTAAATTATTTAATTCTAAAAGAAATTAATAATCGCTTATTTAATTGGCTACTACTAAGATTTATAATCTTACATGGCACGCTGAGAAAATTAGATCTTATGTGGCTCTCTAAAAACTCGGGATATTAAGTAATGTTATATACATGTATTATGTACGATTAATATCTATTAAAAAAATGTTTTTATTTACGACTTTACCAATGAAAAAGGTATTTAGAAACTTGGAATTTCTCATTTGACTTAAGCACATGTGATGCAACAATCCTGTATTTTTTCTTTTCTTTTTCTGATAGGTTCCTCATTTTAGAGTAGCAAGTAAACCTGGGCACGGGCCGGGTTGGCCCGCGTGCCGCCCGGCACGGCCCGTCGTTCGGAGCAGCCCGGCACGGCCCGAAGTCAAGCACGGCACGGCACGAAGTTCGACTTCCGTGCCACGGGCCGTGCCACGGACACGGTGGAGAATTCCCAGGCACGGCCCGGCACGAGCACGGGCAAGGCCCGCCGTGCTGGCCCGCAGGCACGGCCCGCGGGCCAACGGCTAGTTAAACGGCTATAAACGGCTAGTTTTTTGCCAAAAATTCTATAAATACTCACCTCCATTTCATTCCCAAATCACAAAATCACAATCTCTTCTTCTTATCTCTTATATTCTCTAAATCTCTAATAATCCTTATTTTCTTAAATTCTCTAATTATTCTCTTAAATTCTCTAATTATTTTCCTAATATCGGAAAAAATTAAAAAGTTCGTAATCGTAATTAGTGGAGCGTTGAAGCACGGTTGTAAGATCTAAACTAATCTTAAATTTATTATTGTTTTATTGTTATTATTAGAATAATCTTGTTTAATTATTATTGTTGTTAATTGTTATTGTTGTTGTTATAATTGTTGTTATTAATTATTATTATTGTTACAATTGTTGTTATTATTTATTTTTGTTGTTATTGTTATTGTTATAGTTGTTGTTATTAATTATTATTATTGATATTTTTATTGTTAAAATTGTTGTTATTAATTATTATTATTATAGTTAACCACTTTTTATTAAAAAATTAATTGTTAATTATGGCATCGAACAACCCATCATCTAGGTCTAGGGGGAAAGGCCGACTTATCCGTAGTAGTAGTTCTAGGGAACCACCAAATACAACGAGCCCCCAAATTACGAGTCAAACCAATGACCCCATTTACTTCCCCCCGGGCTATGAGCCATATAATACGTCGGGATTTCCAGCACCACCACTAAACCAATTTCCACTACCACCATACCAATTTCCACCTAATTATATCGGTAATCAACAAAACTATTGTTCTAGCCAAGGTAGCCAAGAAAGTACCCGAATTCCCTCCGGTTCTACCCCTTCTACTGCCACTCCCACTAGTCCCCCTACTAACCAATACACACATCATGAATGGTTAACCGAAACTGAGATGCTACTTTTGAAAAACCGAAGGAGTGAGGTATGGCGTTATTTTGTCCTAAGTAAAGATGGTGAACAATGGGCAAAATGTAAAACATGTAATAGTGTATTCACGGCAGTTACCAAAAACGGGACGGGACACTTATCTAGACACATGAAAGCTTGTGCAAAACCAGCTAGTGATCCAACCCAGCCCAAAATTTCCCAATTCCATCCATACGGCTTTACATACAACTATGAGAGGGATAGGGATGAACTAGGAAAAATGATAGTACACGCCGAACAACCTTTTCTTTTCTCGGAAAGTGACGCATTCAACACCTACATTAATAAAGCACTACAACCCCAACATAAAAGAATCTCTAGGAAAACCGTTCGTTCCGCAGCAATGAAAAATTTCCTAGAGTACAAAGTCCGGTTACAAGCCGAATTGAGTAACCTTAACTGTAGAGTATCTTTAACAGCCGATTCTTGGGATAGTGGTTATAAATATCACTATTTATGTGTGACTTGCCATTGGGTAGATGATCAATGGATGTTACAAAAAAGAATAATACATTTCAAAATGCTGGAATACCCACACACCGGCATTAACATTGCTCACCATTTAATGCAAGCAATAGACGAATACAACCTTCGAGATAAAATGATGTCTATGACTTTTGATAATGCAACCTCTATGACATACACAGCTAATCTTATCAAACAAAACTTAACCGATGTACTATTAGACGGTGAAGCTCTTCATACTAGATGTGTTTGCCATGTACTTAACTTATGTGTACAGGATGGATTTCGGGCAATTGGCCCATACTACAGCAAAATCAGAGATGCTATTATGTCTATTAATAGCTCTAACATGAGATACCAAGAATGGAAGAGTTTTCTAAAACAACAAAAGATAAGGGTAATAAAAATTAGAACCGATTGCCCAACTAGGTGGAATTCCACCTATGACATGTTAACAAAGGCAATTGAGTACAAGGGCCCGTTAACATTATTTTACAACCAAAAATTTCCACAAAATGCTTTGTATGATGATGATTGGAATAACTGTGAAAGATATATGCAATTTTTACAGTTATTATATAACATGACGTATTGTTTTTCTACTGTTTACAATCCTTGTGCTCAAAACTTTCTTTCTAATGCATGCTTACTCGCCCAACTTTTCGCTGATCATCGCGATCAAAGTGATTATGATCAGTATCTTCCAGCAATGGAAAAAAAGTGGCGTAAATATTATAGTCAGATTCCTTTGATTTATATTTTTGCTTCCATATTAGATCCTAGGCAAAAGTATGAAAACACATTTATGTTAGTTGACATTTACTTTCAATGCATGTTTCTTGACGATGATGTAGAAAACTATAAGACTAATGTGAAGGATCAGTTTTTTGCTTTATATAGAGTCTATGAAGCCAAATATGACACCGTTCCTCGCTCAGGGCCTTCCCAACCATCTAAAAACGTAAGTAAGAAGGCCAAACATTTATTTTCACAAGCTACTAACTTGATTTCAAGGTTTTCAGGTGATTCATCAATCAGGAGAACGCAAAGCGACGTCTCGGAGTTGCAGATGTACCTGAGTTACGACTTCACCAAAGGCATGGACGACGATGAGATAAACAGCCTCGACCTCCTTGCATGGTGGAAACAACAAAGCTCGAAGCATCCAACTTTGGCGGCAATGGCACGAGACATTCTTGCTATCCAAGTTTCCTCCGTCGCCTCCGAACGAGCTTTCAGCGCATCCGGAAGGGTTTTAGACGATAGAAGAACAAGTCTAAAACCCGAAACACTAGAAATGTGCGTGTGTTTCAAAGATTGGTTGGATGCGGAAAATCGCTCACAAGACCGTTCTTACGACCACAACGACAACGAAGAAGGAACCTCCGCTTCCGGTTCGGGTTCGGCTAGTTCCCAATCTATGCAACTAGCCGATGACCTTGAAGGCGAAGGCGAAGACGAAGACGAAGACGAAGACGAGCAAGAAGAAGGAGAAGAAGAATAGACAATTATTGTATATTGTACGATTTTAAAAATATCAATTTTATCATTTTCCAATTTTTGTTTAATACCATCATTGTATGATTTTTATCATTGTTATCATTGTACAATTTTCTCAACTCAAGTAATAATAATATAAAGTACGCATTATTCACATCCAAAGTCCAATTTGCTTTTTTTCCCCGTTTTGTTACAATTTGTAAATTCATATTAAAAAAAAAAAAAATTATACCAATTACTAATAAATCATAAACATTAAATTTTAAAGTAATAGTATAAAGTAAATATATAAATATAAATATTGAATATACAAATTATAAAACATAAATATTCAACTTATAATTATAAAATTCATAACTTAATAACTTATAACTTATAAGTTACCTTATAAAACTTATAATTATAATTTTATAACTTATATACATTATAAACTTATTAATTAATAATGTTGTCATTAAAAAAAAAAAAAAAAAAAAAAAAAAAAAATGAAAACTGCACCAGCCCGCAGCCCGGCACGTGGCCGGCACGGCACGAGGGCCGTGCCGTGCCGTGGGCTGGCCTGTGAAAATGGCCGGCACGAAATCTTGGGCCCGCCGGCACGACCGGCACGGCACGAACCAGCCCGCGGCCCGCGAGGCACGGCCCGCGGCGGCCCGGCACGGCACGGTGCCCAGGATTAGTAGCAAGTCTAGCAACCATTAAAAAAAATGGGGGAAAAAGATTCAAGTTCAAAAACTTGGGTTCAGTGGATCTTCAAAGACCCTAAATTATAAATCTATCTTTTTTCAGTATTATTAAAGTAAGGAAAGAAACTACAGTATTGCAATTGTTTTCCAAAAAAAATGGTGACCAAAACAACAGCAGCAGCAGCAGCAAGCTATGAAGAAAAAAGGAAGCAAAGATTAGAGGAAAACAAGAAAAGAATGATGCAACTCAACATCCCTCAGCTTTCTCAGTCTCTGAAGCCTTCCCCTGCTACTAGGCTCAAGAGGGTCAACCCCAAACCCCTCAATGCCCCACTTCGTCGATCCACTCGAATGGCCGACAAACCCTCTCCTGACTACCACGACGTCTGGATCTGTTTATTTAATATTACGCGTTTTTACTTTTAGTTATCTTATCCACCGCTTAAGGGGTGTTCGTTAGCTTTCGCCTTATTACAACTACTCCGTAATATTTTGTTTTACAGTTTATACTTGTGGGTGGTAGAAAGTTGCCCCTGAGACGAAACCTTTATTCTCAAGACAATGCCTCTAATCAGAAGAGATTTGATGCTGTTCAGAGAGCTGAAGAGCTGGAGTTAAGATTAGGGTCTCAACATCCAACTTTTGTTAAAGCATTACTTCAGGCTCATGTTCTTGGAAATTTGGTCAGTTCTTACCCCTTTTTTTTTTAAAAAAAAAATCTCTCTTAGCTCGTGTAATTGAGTCAATTGACTCCATTTGAATGCCTTTTTGTTGTTGTTGTTGTTGTTGTTGTTGTTGTTGTTGTTGTTGTTGTTGTTGTTGTTGTTGTTGTTGTTGTTGTCGTCGTCTCTTGGTTGAATGTTGAGACCCTAATATACTATTATAAGAATTGTGTTATCCAAAATGTGTGCAGGTATATATAAAATGTTGTGACATAGTGTTTCGATATTCTCATTATGAACAAATGAATTAATGTGTAATGTTAGCATACTTATTCCCTTGCAACCCTGCCATTGTTCGAATTGTAACATACTTATAACTTATTCCCTTGCAACCCTGCCATTTTTCGAATTGTTAACATACTTATTCCCTTGCAACCCTGCCATTGTTCGAATTGTTAACATACTTATAAGTTATAACTTATTCCCTTGCAACTCTGCCATTTTTCGAATTGTTAACATACTTGTAACTTATTCCCTTGCAACCCTGTCATTTTTCGAATTGTTAACATACTTATTCCCTTGCAACCCTGCCATTGTTCGAAATAGTTTCACATACTTATTCCCTTACAACCCTGCCATTGTTCGAATTGTTTCACATACTCATTGTTCGAATTGTTTCACATACTTATACCCTTGCAACCTTACTATACAGAATTTACCAACTACATTTTGCAAGACCCATCTTCTCAATTATGATGGAATGTTAACTCTAGTTGATGAAGGTGGAAAGAAATGTCAGACCAAGTTCCATCTTCGATATGGTAGATTTGGCTCTGGATGGAGAAGATTTGCCATTAACCACGGCTTGGTTGATGGGGATGTCCTTGTTTTCCAGCTCATCGAACCAACTACCTTAAAGGTAACTTTTGTTTCTTGTAACTACCACAATATGAATGTTAACTGTCTTACCACAAACTGCTTGTTTGCCAGGGAGAAATTGTAACACATGGTTCATTCTATGTAGACGGGATTTGATCTTAGGTCTTGAGTACACACATAATGTTACGGTTTTCCTTTCATTCTAGGCCACGCGCTTAAGATAGGTTAAATCTTAGATGAAATCAAGAAGTAAGGAATCTGATAACACAGAACAATGACAGTTTAATTTCTACCATGACTGCACCTTTATTCTTGTTTTTGATCTGTTCTCACTCTGATATCCTAACCAAGGTGTTGTGTAGAATTGCGAGTTGATGTTTGATCATTGATACTCATAAATTTCTTTCCCTCCGTTTTCCTATCCAAACAAGAATTTGCACCACTTCCTCTATCATTATTCCTACAAAATCCTTTTAAAAAACATAATGTTGATTTCATGATTGATATATTTGTTTGAAATTGTGAAGAATTCAACCTAAGAAAACATAATGTTGATTTCATACAAGCCAGTGCAGCTGCGAACTTTCATGTATAACACACAGTGTCTCTGAATCTTAAGTTAATATTCTTATCAGCTTGCCTTGATTTACTTGTTCTTAAGGTTTTCTGGTCTTTTTTGTTCTTTCTAACTGATAGAAACTGTATATACATTACTATTAACTTCACATCTTTTCATAGGTGTACATTATTCGGGTAAATACTTCTAACCAAGACAAAGAGAAATGCAGCACAACAAACTAGAGGTGATGCTTGAAGAAATTGGATTTTTTTTTTTTTCCATGTTACAGCAGCCAGATCTCCTGTGAAGCAGTATGAACAAGTGTTTTTGATGAGATTTCTTTTATCTTACCCTGAGATTTGATTTCATTTTATTATATACTGTAAGGAAATTTATACAAAATTTTAATTGATCATTATTAGAAGGGTAACCATTTACCTTATTTTCTAACTTTTGTTCCTATTTGTTTAGTAAGTTACATGATTTGCAATTTAAATTTTGAATTCTATTTATGTTAAGTGAACCTTACATATGAGGGAGAGTTCGAAGCATAAGTTTCCAAATGACACGTGAGTTTCTTATATTGTTGAAAGAAAACAATTTATAAGGCTAAATGACTACTTTCATTGTCATATGATTTTGGACTCGCGGGTGGTACTCTCTTGGACCTTGTAAATGGACTCTTGATGTCGAGTGCGGCATTGGCCCATATTCAACAAAATCTTATATTTTCAATCCATGATCTGTTTAGAATTATTCAAGTACATACTTCATTACTTTGTATCTACTTGCTCGAACAATGCCTCTGGTTTTTGATTGAATTTTAACAAGTAACTAGTTCTGAATTCACTACTTTTGTCAATTCTCTAGTTTCTGGAGGAATTTTGGTCAGTTCTTAACTTCTTACTGTCCTTTGTTTTGGGGAGTTGGATTTGTGAGGACTGAAGGAAATAAGAATGGATAATTGATAGTTATATTATTCATTCAAATCCTCACATATATTCGCATAATTATATATACCCCTTAAATAAAGGAAATGCCTAATAGTATAATTGTGTAATCCAAAATGTGCATAAAAAAGGTTGTGCGTAGTGTTTCAACATCCTCATTATGAACAATCAAAACAATGTGAAATGTAAACATACTTATTCCTCACAACCTGCCATTGTTTGAAATGCTAACATACTTATTCAAGTTATCGCCTTATTATTCTGCCATACTTTATCATACAGAAATTTCCTACCCCATCTTGCAATAACCATCTTCTTGACCATGACGGAATATTAACTCTAGTTTATGAAGACGGAGATAAATGTCTGATCAAGTTCCATCTTCTATATAATGAAGCTTGGCTCTGGATGGAGAGGATTCTCCACACTGACCATGGCTTGGTTGATGGGATTGACTTTGTCTCCCAACTCATCGAACCAGCTACCTGAAAGATAAGTTTTATTCCCTGTAAGTCTGTAACCACCATAGTATGAATTTCGCTGCCTAACCGCCAACAGCTTGTATAGTAGAGAGAAATTGTAACACCTGGTTCATGCTGCAATCATGTCAGTATCTTTATACACACACAATGTTAGCCATAGTTTCCCGACCAATCCTAAGCCATGAGCTTCAAGAAGTAAAAACTATGAATAAATCAAGAAGTAAAGAATCTGACATCGCAAAACATTGACAGTTTAGTATTCAACACAGTAGCATTTTTTTTCCTTATCTTCAATCTGTTGCTGGTTGAAATTTGTAACATACATCCATATCCATCGTATGCTCACTCTGATATTCTAACCAAGTGCTGTGTACAATTGTGAGTAGATATTCACAAGTAATATTTGATCATTGATGAAAAGGTAAGATGAAGTGAAGAGCCCAATCTTAAGCCATAACAGTCGTACTCCTTTATATCTTTTCCTTCCGTTTAACCCTCTAAATTCTTTCATCCAAACAAAGTGTTGATTTCATGGTAACAAGGTTATAATATTTCATACTAAAATTCTTGTATTCTCCACAATTTCAAACAGCCAAGGTAGCTGAAGCTTTTCATGCATAATACTCAATGTCTTCAAATCTTATAACCTCATCAGCTTGCTTTGATTTGCTGGTCCTTGTTTGTTCTTTCTACTGATAAAAAATACAAATAAATTAACCAGATCATTTTTTTCCTGGGGAACAAAATCTTTTGCACCACAAGTAACTTCACCATTTTTTTCTTAGTTCTACAATTTTAAGGTAAAAGAACAGTTGTGACGAGCATAAAGCTGTTTGTACAGTAGGGGAGAGAAAGAGAGCATGACAAACTAGAGCAGCCGAGTAGGTAATGCTTCCTTCATACTCTGCTATTGAAATATAATGCTTCATGAAATTTTCTGGAATTTTGGTCTTTTTCTCCAGATCCTGTTGGGCTATTGGTGGTGGATTACTTAGGGTGAAGCTAGCAGATTTATGATTTATTTTTCTCCATGTTACAGCAACTAATTCTTGTCAAGCAGTTTTGACCACATGTTACAGCAACTAATTCTTCACCTTTTGTCTTAACCTGTGATTTTTAAATTTTATTTTATTTTTTATTACAGTTATTTTACTATTTTGTAAATAATTTATATAAATTGTTAACAAATCAATTAGAAGGGTAAAAGTTTACCTTATTTTGTAACTTTTGTTGCAGTATATTTTAATTATTTGCAAGAATTGCATTTTATGAGTGGAATGCTGTTTTCTATTGCTTAGTAGCTTAGTATGAGACCATGTCTTAACGACTTAACCTAAAGTCTATTGCTTAGAAACTGTCTGACACGGGGTCAATAAATGAAAATTTGATATAATTACAGGGGGGCTCTTGGTCAGGGCTGGAGGAGACAAAGTTACAATGGGAGTTGGATACTTCAACCAAATGGCCTACCGAGGTGTCATGGGGTCCATGGGAAGCACTTTGATCTGTTTCCTTTTTTGGGTTCAAAAAAGCTTAAATGAATCCAAAACTGAAGGCTTATATTCACGTTTTTACCACATTTAGAGGTTTCAAGACCCAATAATGAAAACTCTCAGGAAGGTTGGGGATGCATCCTAAGGTCATATAATGTTGTTTGAAATTATATATGAACACTAGTCGGTCACATAAAAGGCCCATGGTGGCCTTGAATTAATCAAGGGAAGACTGCACATAAAATACTAATTGCTAAATTGACTTTTTTAGGGCAAAGTGTATTATTTTAACAACCCAAATAGCCTCCTAAGGTGTTGTAGGGTGTATGGGAAGCACCCTGTCTTATTTCCTTTCTAGGTCCAAAAAGGTAAAAAATTGTTCAAAACCTGAAGACTATAATCCACGAAATCGAACCAATTTCGGAGGTTTAGGGACCTAAGATCAAAAAATATCAAGATCGGAGGGGATGCATCCCGAGGTCATATAATGTTGTTTGGAACCATACATGACCACTAGTTGGTCATAATAAGTCTCATGGTGGCCTCGAGTTGACTAAGTGAGGCGTAAGTTGTTAACGACTAAACTAGCAACTTAAAGGAAAAGTGGACATTTTCAATCACCCAAATGGATTCCCGGGGTGTCGTGGGGTATATGGGAAGCACCTTGACATGTTTTCTTTCGGAGTCCAAAACTGAAGTGAATGTGTGGGCTATTATCCACGTTTCAGGCTAATTTTGAGAAATTTTTCCAAAACTGAAGTGAATGTGTTCTCTTGAGTCATACAAGTTGGTTTGGAACCATAAGAGGTTTATCAATAGGTGTATAAGTGTCAACTCTCAAGTATGAGTTTGTTTTAGTTATATGGTAGTGAAAAGCTACAATGGTTTTAATAATCATTAACTTGACATCGTGGGGACCTATTAAGGTGTCTCAAATCCTTTATCCTCATTGAGTCATTGGGGGTTAGTTGATTATTCCCAAATTCATTACTTTCATAACATTCCATTATAATGTTGATTTTATACTATACCATAATACTTTATTACTATTATATTGTATTGGTGTTGTGCTTGTTATTTGACAGTCAACACCAATCAATATTGATTTTGGTTTGATTGTCCACATACAATTGTTCATTTATAAAGGAATGGAAGTTTTTTTTTTAACTTAAGATGGAAAGTATCCATAACCTCCATATGGAATTGTTGTTTACAAGAATAGAATATTCATATTATGGATTGATTGACAGATTGATGGCCTTCCAAACTTTGAAGCCCAAAGTAAATTACTATGGCCTTGTATATTCAGCACCTAGACAATATTGAATCAGGTAATGTAATTTGTAGTCCGTCCTATATTCTATGGCCAAATATGGATTCAAGAGAATTTAGAATGCTATTGGCGAGCAGCAGTCTATAATGTCCCTGGAACACTATTTTCCTACTTCTGTATGAAAGTAAACACCTAAGAATTTACACCTGGCAGGTTTTCAACATATTTTCCCCTAAATTTTCCATCATCCTGGGAAAGGGCTCTAACATAGGTGCTACAACAAAATATGAGATATAATGCAACAACATCCATTTATTCCCACAAATGTTTTAAGCCTCTACGAAGAAATATAAATCTAAGATTTGTTGTTATCCATAATCACAGCAGTAGTAGTGACCATCTACGAAGAATTGGATACTACTTCCTGTTTCTTTCACATGCATTGTTATAGATTTAAAGATATGCCAAAAACTTACAATAATGTCATGGAGGAAATGATCAATAAAGATCCCAAAGATCTTTAATGGATTTGGCTGTCTTGGTGACTTAGCTAAAAATACTAATAACTCCTCCATTATTAACAGATTAACATAAAGCATTGGCAAGAATATAAAAATGACCCAAGTGATTAGAAAACAAATGGAAAGAAATCAAAATAGTGCCCATTTGATGAGGTGAGAGTGAAAATCCGCAAGCCACTAAGCCAAATAACGAAATTTGCAACTATTTCAAAACAGAAAAAAGGAAGGAAAAAAACAAAAAAATAAAAAGGTAAATCAACTATTAAAGGACTCCATACCACTTCTTAGTGACTAAGCTTTGCTTGAGCATATCAGAGGTGTCAAGCGTCCGCCACTACTCCTGGAACAAAAATAAAATGAATTCTGTTGTTAAGCACAGAAACACAACCCTGTAAAGACCATATTTCAGAGCACCAGAATCAGGACAACCAAGTTCAAATTTAATTAGTAGAATGTAATTCAGCTATGTCAAGTTGTCAACACTATTTTCTAAGAACTGCAAGGAAAATGAAGCAAAAAACATTACAATGCTTAAATTGACATGTAAATGATCTCAAAATCCATGAATAAATATAAGATTCAAATAACGTGCATACCATGGTGCACAATCATTCCAAGACAGGGTCCTGGATAAGTTGATCAGCACTCATTTGTCTCAAAGATCTAACCATATGCTGATCGGCAGCACGAATATGAACGATTCTATCTTGCATACTCTGGAATGCAGGCATTGCAAATGCTTGAGATAATCTATCATGATGGCTTGGATCTTCAGAGAAGTTAATAAGTGATTCCCCAGCATTATCCCTAAGTTCCTCAGACTCATCTCGCAACATTTCTATCAGACACGGAATGGCTCCAGCATCAGCCAGGGTAGAACGGTCAGCTTCATGATAACTCAACTGTGCAATGGCTCCAGAGACTTTCTCTCTGATATCACTATTTCCCTCCTTTAAAAGACCAACAAGAATGGGAATTGCACCAGAGTTACTAATGACTGAAATCGAGTGTTGATAACCTGACAAATCCCATAGAACATCTGCTGCTGCAGCCTTCGCTTCAGCATCGTCTTCTTGGAGAATTCTTACCAAATGCTCAGTAACCTCAACTGCATTACTTTCAGCAACAGCCAATACACAGAAGACATCCTCTGCAACTTCCCTGCCCAATGGTTCAGGCCCTCGAAGAAGCTCTGCATACAAAGGTATAACCCCAGCTTGAGCAACGGGCCTAATGTAATCAACATGAGACGAAATGATACCCAAAGCATTCCCGGCCACAACTTTTGTCGAGGAATCTCCATTCTGCAGTAGATCTACAAGTGTTGGTATTGCACCCAACGCAACTAGTGTACGTCTTGCCCTCTTGACAATTCCAAGCAACCCAAGTGCCTGAGCAGCTCTTTCTCTCGACTCCATGCTACCATGCTTAGCAGCTTCAATAAGAAGACTTAATTCTCCAAGACAAACCAACGCTCTCCTGACCTCTCGGACCAATGCCAATGCACTTAAGGTTTCCAAGAGGTATTTTCTCCTACTGTCTGTGTATAACTTGAGCATATTAACAACAACTTCCAACCCACCACTTGAAAATATGTACACTCTGCTGTCTTTTACAAAAGTAACCACACCCCACAAACATTTTATCAAATAAATCTGACATCTACCACCAGACTGTTCTAAAATCTTCACAAAAGAAGCTAAGGTGCTCGGTATACAGATAAGCTTCAGCAACTCAGGATCATCTTTACAAGTTATGCGCTTCAAGCAATAAGCAGCAGCTTCTTGAAGAGGTCCTGGGTCTTTCGACGTCCCTTCAATGAGTCCAATGAGGATTGGCACTGTAAGCAATAATAAGTCATTGGGAACACTGTCTAACAAACTAGCTAGCTTGATAGTTGCTCGTAACCTTAAGATATCAGTCCCACTGTTTATTATTTCTTCATAAGAACGGTACAAATCATCCCACTCGGGAGATGTCAAGGGGGCGGTCGACACTTGTTGAGCCATGAAGTATCAGTCTAAGGATTGGTAACGCGAAACTCCTTAAACAAAAACCCCCTAAACTCACACACAAGGAACTATTAGAAAATATAAAAAGACAAATAAGCATAATATCTCCTTATATTCAATACAGAAAAATACAAGAAAAAAACAAATGGCATACAATAGTTCAAGTTCCTACTACAAATTAGGGTATACCAAATTACCAATATCATCAACTAGCATTCCAAGCATGAAAACTCATTACCCACATTTAAATTTTAAATATGTAATATTCACGATTCAAAATTAATTCCGTTGTCACACTTTGGGTGTAACACGAGTATGCCGACATAAACTACCCTACATCAATCACTCGTTCCAAATTGGGGCATTATTAAAAAAATCCCAATAAAGATCCACCACTACACTATACAACAAAAATGTAACAACTTTTTCTGAACATCCCAAAATAATACGTGTGACAAGTATTTCTTGACGAAGGGGGCACAATAGTAATACCTAAAACAACGAAAAACGCCTGAAGTGACGTATGCATCAACAATTGAATTCATTGAACATTAAAAATTCTTTCTTTTTAGCACAAACAAATTATTATTAACAAACAATTTATTAAAATAAGAACTAATCAAACACCCAGCTCATAAAATGCGGAAATCATAAAGTTCACAGCTTTATAAATTATTAAAAAATTAAAAATTATATCTAGGAAAATTAAAAATTACAACAGGGAATTCTAAAATATTTAGCATAAATCATAATTAACTAATTAAGAATAATAATTATCAAAATTAGATAAAGGAAAGAGAGAGAAAATTGACCGTTATTTGGAGCAGCTTGGTTGGTTGAAGTCGGTTGAGAATGGAAGAGAGAGATTTGGAAATGTTTCTGGAATACAGAAAGTGTCGAATTTTTTTGTTGAAGACAAGAAAAAATGAGTAGTAGTAAAACAAAATTAATTTAAATACGAAAAAATAAAATGAAATTTATGGTTAAAGGAAATGTAGGCTATTGGGCCTTTTTGTGTAATGGACCTTTGACTTGGGTTTGGGCTTGAGCTTGCATTTGTGTACAATTGGACTGTGTATACATTGTAAAAGCTATATATGTATACATATATATATGGAAAATTTGTCAGAAACAACCTTTTAAAGTGTCCACTTTATTTAAAATAACCTTTAAATTTTTTTTTTGCAATTTCAGACCACATTATAAAAAAAATTTATCAAATATAACCAAATGTTACTTTCCGGCGTTGACTTTATTTTTCCCGATGTTGACCACGAGTGTGCGAGTCACGTGACCTCCTATATTGCTTAATACACCCCTTTTCCCTCCAATTAACTCCTATTAAAACTAAGGGTGAGCAAAAATTCCGGGTATCCGGAATTGGAACTGGAACCGGTTAGGAACCGGCGGGTCCGGAATCGGAATTGGACCCGGTGGTTCCAATTCCGGGTAATAAATTAAGGACCCGGTTATAACCAATTCCAATTTTTAACTTTTTGGAACTGGAACCGATTGGGTACCCGGTTACCTAATGTATGATAAACTAAATAAATTTTAAATAATAAAAATATGTTGAATGTATCTAATTTGTAAATTTAAAAAGTATTATTAATACCTAACATAGATACAAATAGCTTAATGCATATATAAATATAAGTATTAAACGCTAAAAATGAACCTAACTAAAATAAAAATTATAATTTGTATTATATTTTAACAATTACATACATAAGTGGGTACCCGAAATTGGAACCGGTACACGGTGGTTCCAATACCAATTCCTAAATTTTAGGATCCGATTGAACCAATTCCAATTCCGGATCCGAATTTTAGGACCCGGTTCCAACCAATTCCAAGTCTGGGTCCTAAAATTTTGAACGGGTACCCGGTTTGCTCACCCCTAATTAAAATTCCTGCTTCTCTTTCATCCCTCTTTTAGTACGAGTATATTGGAGGGAAAGTTGGTGTATTAAGCAATATACGAGTTCATGTGCGTTGCACACTAGTGGTCAACATCGGGATAAATAGAGTCAACGACGGAAAGTAGCATTTGGTTGTTTTTAATTAAAAAAAAAATTATAATGTGGTCTGAAATTGCAAAAATAAAAAAATAAAAAATTAAAATGTTGTTTTAAATATAGTGGACACTTTAAAAGGTTGTTTCTGACAAATTTTCCTATATATATATATACAAAGTATATTTTTTTAATGCCGAACTAACAAACAAAATCAAATAACTAAACGTGGCAAAGTCACTCCTATGACATCCTCACAAAAGAGGTTAGTGATTTTAGATGGTGCAACATTGAAATAAATTACCCTCTCCGATTGGATGACACCCCCAACGAATAGGGGATGGTTTGAAATAAATTTTGACTTGTTTTTGGCAAACCGCTTAAAGATTTTATGGAGTATTATTTTTTACAATTTTTCCTTTTTTTTATATCATACTCAATCCATTATTTATTAATTATTGTTTAGAAGTTTCACAAGCATTTAGAATTTGATAGTTTTTTTTTTTATTTTCTACAATACTTTGTCTATTTCAAAATAATTGTTGTTTTGAAGTATGAGAAGCGCCCTTTATAGAATTTAATAGTTATTGCATTAATTAACTATTTTTATTTGTACATCTTTCAGAGAATAAAGAATGAAAATGGCCGAGTTGAAATCTTATTCAAGTCATCAATCAAATAATATAGAATGAAGAAAGACACATAAACTAGACATGATAATAATCACCATTATAACCATCATTAAGTACAATAGTACTTGGTATGGGTCAAGAGGAGACATAGATTTTGCACCATATCAACTCTATAACTTTAGGATTAAAACATGGGAAATTGATTTTGTTACATAAATTTGATGCATGCAAGTTATTTTCATTGCATATCCATTATAATGATGTAGCACATGTTAATTGGACCTACATACATAAAACTTTATTTTGTCACCAATAGAATAATGAAAAATTGTTTCGAAAATAATGCACAAAAGAAATATTGCATTGTATGCAAAAGAACTTTCGTTTTCTTTGTGGATAATGTTGTTAGAGTACTAACATTTGTGGGAGTGACTTCTTGTGGATAAGGCTTTCACATTTCCTACTTGCTCGGTCCACATGTTTTTATGAAACTATAATATACGGAGTACTTCATAATAATTTAATATGGTGTTTTTAATTTGGCAAATGCATAAACGCTTTTAGGGCGTTATAAAAGAGAACTAAAAGTGAAAAATTGAAAATATTAAAATAAAATTGATATTAATTAATTACGTACACTGATCAACGTGTAATTTTGTCTTGCATGCATTCCGTATTAAATAGTTATCTAACGTCTTTGGGCACTTGTTAGCAAGATCCTTTTAATTTAAGGATTGTAATTCAAATGATTGTAATTCATTTTAAATATATGTTAACTTATTTTGATTTAACTTAGACAATATAAGTCTTGCTAAAGTTAAATAAGTTCATGTATGTTCGAAACACGTTTATACAAAATTAGTTTTTTTGCAAACAATTTCACGCACAAATAAGATAATTTGCTACAAATCAAGTTCAAGCATGATAAAAGTTTCATATAAGCTCAAATGTGTTTGTTTTCAATTTACCTAAGCTAGAAAAATCTACTTTGCTCGATTTACCTTATTTGATCAGATTTTTCTAACCATTATTTACTACTTGTATCTACTAGTTCATCTAAACGTCTAATCATGTAATACTACTCCACAGTACTCTACACTTGAAATCACAATAGACATTAAATCAATGAAATTGTATAATATAATATGGTGCAATTTTTTTTCAATAAATTCTAAATGATTTATTTTTTCTCCTATTTTGGTGAATTACACTAAAGAATCCAAAGGGAACGTCTATATATATGTTACGTTCAAGGCATAAAAAATTCAAACATACAACAAAATTTCAACAAGAACGAAGCTATGCTAGTAATGAGATATATAAGTATATAACCCACTAAACTACGAGATTTATTGTCAAAAATAGAACTTATATTTTTCAAATAATTCATGCATCGTGTTTCTGAAGGGTTGACAAAATATATTAGAATTCATTTCTTTATAGGACTTAATCTCATTGACTAAAATGAGTTGAACTGAATTTATTAGAGCTAAACTGAACTTATTAGAGTTGAACTGAAGTAAACTGAAAATAATCGTATGAGAACATGTCCGTACTCTTGTCTCTACACCAATCGCATGCAGTCAAAAATTTATTAGATTTTGCAGTTAAAAATCAAAAAACGATTTTCCTTTATTGCCCTTCCTTTTAATGGAAAATTCTTGAGAAATTATGCATCTTATATTGGCTGGAAAGTTTGAAACCTTTGGAAATGATTAGGTGAGAACATGTGGAGCAGCTTATGCTAATTATTAAAAGAAACTTCAATTCACATGCCAAAAAGGTTTCTTCTATTTGCTCTTCTCTAGTGGACTACGTACATTACTAAATGTACATCCTTTAATCATCTGACTTCCACTCGTAACATCGTAATCTTTAACCTCACGACCTCACTTATAGGCTCCTTCTGTCTCCAGATAATAAGTCTATGCGCTAATACGCAAGTATTGGAGTTACAATAATCATATACAAACAAATTGTACGTCTTATTTAAAAAAAGCTAATCGGAAGTTTGGAGGGTCAAATCACAAAGTACAATACAACGAGTCAACGAGAACTACTAAAATACTAGGACGGCAAAAGTGTATATACCCTAATGCTTCATTATATATATTGATTAAACAAACTAATCGATCAAAAGTACAATAAAATAAATTTATTAGGTGCTTAATTAATTAACTAATTAATCAACCATGTAATTAAGTATTGCGTTCTTTCTGTAGTAGTTCAATGATTGCGGAAGATCATGTAAGTTTTAGGTGAGATGTCATACTGTATATTTTACTGCAATTAAATCTAACTAATCTTAACAAAAATTAATTAATTAATTAACTAGATTAGTGTGTATAAATGACAATGTATGTAACATCTAACACCAATATATGTCCTGGCCAAATCAATTAATTTATAATTAATTATATGTGGCAATTAAGGGTTTTTGTTACTGTCAACATCAGAATGACAGTACAATCCATTTCATAATATATGCATGAATGACATAAAATTATATGATCACCTACCTCTTCATGTTTAGTAAGAGTACTATGCTTTCCAATTTAGTCCAATTTTATTTTCTAATTAGAAAAAGTGTCAACTACTTATTTAATTAGTACACTACACCGTTTATTTTGTTAGGATCCCTAATTTCGAGATTATCTTCACAAATATTATTTAATTAAGCGCACAGCTAAAAAGCTCGGTTTAATTTTGATCGACTTGCACAAATTAAGTTAAATATGTGTCATACGTAAATAGTCACATTATCCAAACCTCTCGTAATTATGTGATTTTACCGACGAAGTTAGCCTGCAATCTATAGCATGCATACGGCTGGAGTACTATATGTGTGACTATTAATTTCGAATGACGTGAGGGGGAGTATAGTAAAAATCTATTGATCCAGACTAGACGAATTGATATCTAGGCAAAATCAATCGTAGCATGTGATGAATACACTAATAAGTTGCGACAAATCGATCAAATTGAAAGGGAAAACGGTGGAATTTATTGGCACCGAAAGTGACATTTTTTTTTATCGAAGGTGGGAAGCTATGGAGAGTGACTAATTTCTGCATTCATTTACCTTTTTATATTATGACTGAAGATTAAAATAAATTAAACAACAAAAATAAAAAAGTTCCACCAATTACTTTGTTTTTATTTTTATTTTTTTTTTGGAAAGATTAGTTTGTATGTATTTATTTATTAAGGATTTAATATTAATACCTTGCATCAAACATTTAATTTATGGAAATATACAAGTAATCAATTGTCTGATATTGCTTCATCATATAAGC